ACTGGAAATCTCAACGGGCTAAAAAAGATTGTTATTGCAGTAACTTATTTTGGCAAGATATTTTGGACACTTTAAAATTGACGTAATAAAATAGATAACGTTACGTTACGATGCGAGTTATGTCAATACAACACATGAAAAAAAAAAAAAAATTAGATATTATTTTGAATTATATCCAAATGAATCTATGAGAGTATTATGAACCCATACATTACACAATTACACTTTACGCACCGTATTCATTTTATTTTCATTACAAATAAATAATAAAATAATCGATATTATATCATATTTCCTAAATTGAAATAATTATTTAAAAAAAAAAAAAAAAAGATATAATAACTTTGATCTTAATGTAATATTTCATAAATTTCCAGAAATATATATATATATATATAAAGAAAATGTTACTACATTTGTGAATAGTAATGTTACATAATTTAAGTAAAGATATTAGTCTGAATAAAAAAAAAATAAAAAAAAATCATATTTGCATGTATCATACCAAAAAAAAAAAAACAAAAAACTAATTTATCAAAACGATCACGCCATAAACATGACAAATAATTTTGCTATTATTTTAATTCAAATTTAGATACTTTAAAAAGAATTACTAGCTACAACTAGTATCATTTTTAAATCAATTTATTGAATAATTTATAAATAAATCATATATTCGATAATCATTTCGCTTATTCTTAAACTTTAAAAAGACGTAGTTTCTAGTTTTATGCAGTTACAAATTTATGCATCATCAATAAAAATGGAACACACTGTGTCATACTCACATGTTAAAAAGTTTCTCCTTCTTCAAATAATATTATTAAATACTTCTATTTTTTTTTCTTTCTATAAAACAAATCAATCGAATAGAATATATTCGAATGATAATAATTGTGAATAAATAATGAACAGTAATCGTCTAATGTTCACTGAAAGTATAGAAACACGTGCGCGTCTTATATATCGAACGATCGTCGCGCGCAGCTTTTATTCTTTCTCATTCTTTTTTTCTTTCATACCCTATATATATAAACAAATCAGAAAGAGAGGAAGAGAGAGAGAGAGATATAGAGAGAGAGAAAAACAATGATCGAAGAGCCACTATCGACCATACTTGGAACTACAATTTTCGTTTGAAACATTTTAAACAAATAAAAAAAAAATAATCTTTATTTATTTAACAATTTCTTTATTGAATGATTTTAAATCTAAATATTTGCATAGAAAATTTATATCAACTATATATTTTCAATGATATCGATTCAATGATTAAAATGTTCTTCTCCCTTTCTTCCTATACTTTTAATTTATAGAATTGTTTACAATACACGCAATGATTTTTTTATTGACATAAAAAATTTTAAAAAGAACAAACAAAAAAAGAAAAGAAAAAACAGTGTTAGTTTTAATCTCGTTATACGCCATTTAAATTTCCCTCCATTGCATCTATTAACAACAATGCGTGTAAGTTGAGAATAACAACTATTGGTGTAGAGATTATTTATTGTTCTTAGAAAGTGTATTATAACTTTTATATTAATGAAATAGTATGTAAAAAAGAATTATTTATTCATTCATAACGTGAGTGACAGGTGAGAATCAATGTTACAAAATTAGATGAATGAAAAAGCCATTTGCCGAGGCCAACACACGATATAACCTAAAATATCACTTTATATTAACGGTATTTAAAATCCATATAATAATAATGATTTAATAATTGACTAATATTTAAACGTGTCATTTTTAAAGTATATATATTTATTTACATCCATAAATAAAACAATTCAACACAAAGATTTATTTAATTATGTTGACATAAGAATAATGAGATAACCTGATAATAATTCTTCATAATTTTACATTATGAAATATTTTGTGTTTCTATATTAATATAAAATATTATTTATTGGAATGAATATTACATATATATATATATATAAATATGTTATTATATATTTAAATGAATATTTTCTTCGTCTTTATTTTATTGATAAAAAGTAAATAACAAAGAATCAAATATGACGACAATTGAGGAAACCATTTTAATGAATAAAATTGATTCTTGTATTAATGAATTATTTAGTAAAACTTTTTTATTAGCTGAGAAAGAAAATTATTCTTTACCTAGTCCGGATAGAATGTTTAAAGAAAGTCCATGGTACATCAAAGAATTACAAACCTTTAAGGAACAGTTGAATGAAGTGAAAAATCGTTTAAATGGTTTTCCTTTGGGTATGTGGCACAAACATACGAATAACAGAAATAAGGCAGGACAAGTTTTGTATCACGTAAAGAAAAATATTGAACCAGAATTACTTACTCAAGCATGGTGCAAATTTTATGAAATATTAAGCTCTTTACACTTTGTACCAAAAAGTGCAATTCAAAAGAATAATAATAGTTTTACTTCGGTACATTTATGTGAAGCACCTGGAGCTTTCGTCACATCTTTGAACCATTGGTTGAAGACAAATACTAATTTCAATTGGAATTGGTTAGCTACTACTTTAAATCCATATTACGAAGGAAATTCTTCATCTAGTACAGTTATTGATGATCGTTTTATTATAAATACATTAAATCATTGGTATTTCTATGAAGACAACACTGGAAATCTAATGGATTTGAAGAATTTAAATTTCTTTGTAAACCAAGCTAAAATTAATGACAACATATTATTAATCACCGCTGATGGAAGTATTAATTGTATGGATGTACCAGCCGAACAAGAAGCAACTGTATCTAAATTACAGTATTGTGAAATAGTCGCCGCATTACATTTATTAAATAAAGGAGGAAGTTTTTTAATTAAAATATTTACTATTTTTGAGTACACTTCGGTATGCTCACTTTATTTATTAGCTTGTTGTTTTAATACATTGTATATAACCAAACCAGCTACAAGCAAAGAAGGAAATTCGGAAACTTATGTCGTGTGCATAGATTTTAAAGGACCAGAGTATATAGCACCTTATTTATCAACATTAAAGAAGTATTATGAAACTGTTGCTAATACAGCTATGTTTTGTAAAGAAGATATTCCTTCGAATTTTATAGAAAAAATAATCAAATGTAGTCAATTTTTCAAAGAGCATCAAGTACGTGCTATAACAGACAACATAACATCTTTTATATCTGACGAAGAAGTTGACAACATATGCGACATCAAAGTTATACAAGAACTTGTTGCTAAGAAATATTTGAAGCATTGTAACTTACAACCTCTACCAATTGACTGTAAAATCATGAAGAAAAATAAGTTATATAATCTTATTTTTAATCTTGCTAAAGTACAATCAAACGAATCATATGATATGCGTTGTGAAAAAGCAAACAGATCACCAGTGCAACGTTTAATCGAATATCGAAATGAAATAAATGAGATTTACAGTAGAGTATTGATGAGCGAACCATATGAAGTAAGTTAACTTAATAGTTTATAATAATACACTGAATCTAATCTATTATTATTATTATTAAAAAAAAAACATATTGTATTTCTCTGTTTTATAGTTTCAGTTTACCAATCAACATATAGCTTTAGAATTCTGCACAGGGAAACCATTCTGTAGAGTATTTAATTCGAAATTTTACAATATAAGAATTCTAAATATGCAAAACGAAATAGAAAATATTTTAGATGAATTGCAGTTAAAAAATTATTCTTTTCCTTCAGATGAAGATACAGTGAATTTATTACAAGAATTACATATAACTTCAAATTATTTAACATTGTGTTTACAATACACAAATCTTAATTATAATTCAACACTTATTTTTCAAATTTATGAACTATTATATACTCTTGTAATTCATGAAAATCTTGTATTAATTGGTTATTCTTTATTAACACGTTTAAATATTAGTCTACTTTATCTTTTAAATTACACGTTTGAATCTATGGAATTGATACCTCACGAAAAAGTAGGTTGTTTAATAATCTTGAAAAATTATAAAAATAATCCAAACATATTTAAAATGTGGGAGAAAATTGTTCAAATTAACAAGAAATTACAAACAGAAGGAAAAACTGTTTTGTCTTTAATTCCAATATCGCATCTATGTGGTAAGATATATTAATATATAACAAGTATATTATATATTTTTATACAAAATTCAGATTAGACAACGACATATTCTTTTTTTTTTTTTTTTAGATTGGGAAGCATATAACAAGATTGTTGAGTGCAATCACTGGATTTTTAAAACATATTTTAATTATATCATAAATAATGCGTTGGACATTATTACTGTATGTTAGATTCATTTTAATCTGACAAAAATCTTATAAGAAAAACTCCTATAAAACATATAATAAAAATAATATGTACTTACGAAAGAGATGACTTTTACTGTATATAGAAATTGTATATGTATATATTTACTACCTATCATGCTTTTTTGTATAGAAATATTTTGATAGTAAAAATTATTTATTAAACAGTATTAATAAAATTTTATTTAATTACAAACATCAAGAATAATTTTATTATATATGTATATAAGAAAATATATAACGTACATTAAAGTCTTCATGTTTAATGTATTAAGCATTGACCTACATTTCTAAAAGTGGAAAGGTAAAGATTTAGAACCGATTTGAGAGACATGAAGAAGTATAGTTTGGTATCATAAAAAGAAAGCATATCAAATCTAAATTCTGTATTTGTTCGGATATATTAGCAGTGTAAGCCTCGGCAATCTTTTTTGATTTAATCTACAAACTTTTGTTATATATATATATATTAATATTCATTATTGTTCATTTATATATTTTTTTTAGAAAAAAACAAAAATTAACAACTATAATGAAGTGTCAAATGATATTTAATAATATACGTTTATTTTCTACTGAAAATATTATACCAAAAGTATGCGTTGTTGGTGCAGGTCCAGCGGGTTTTTATGCTACGCAACAATTATTAAAGGTAAAAATAAATCAAATTAATTCAAAAGATCATATTTATGTAATATTTGAAATTTTTTATTTTAGACATCAAAAGATGTTAAAGTCGATATATTAGAAAAACTACCAGTTCCATTTGGTTTAGTACGTTTTGGTGTAGCACCGGATCATCCAGAAGTGAAAAATGTTATCAATACATTTCATAAAACTGCTATGAATCCACGTGTTCAATTTATTGGTAATGTTAACGTTGGAAAAGATGTTACTGTTGATCAACTACAAGAATTGTATCATGCTGTACTACTTGTAAGTAATAAAACTATTTTATTTATGTATCATTATGCAATATCTATCATCAGTTATTCTTGTATTCATTATTTTATAGACTTATGGAGCAGAAGAAGATAGATTACTTAACATTCCTGGAGAAGATTTAAAAAATGTAATATCAGGGCGTCAATTTGTAGGATGGTACAATGGTCTACCCACTAATAAAAATTTAGATATAAATTTAGATGTAGAAGAAGCAGTTATATTGGGTCAAGGTAACGTGGCAATAGATATTGCAAGAATTCTTTTAACATCTATTGATCATCTAAAGGTAGAGGATTTTTCTAAAAACTATTTATATTTATTTGATAATATTTCTTATCCTTTTCCAATTCTTTTACAGAGTACAGATATAACGATGCATGCACTAGAACAACTTTCAAAGAGCAAAGTGCGTAAGGTTCTATTAGTAGGAAGAAGAGGTCCGTTGCAAGCTGCATTCACTATTGCAGAATTACGAGAAATTTTAAAACTCGAAAATTGTACAACATTTTGGCGAACAGAAGATTTTACTGGTATAAACGAAATTGTTCCTACATTAGCAAGACCAAGAAAACGATTGACAGAACTTATGTTGAAGTCTTTAAACGAACAATCAAATATTAATCATATGACAATTATAAATGAATTACATCCGATATTTCTGAGAAGTCCTATAGAATTTCTTGGTTGTAAAAGTGTTGAAAAGATCAAGTTTTCAGTGAATAAACTTCAAGGAGATAACATAAATTCGCAAATAGCAATACCTACTAATGAAATAGAAGAAATATCATGCGGTATTGCTTTTCGAAGCATTGGTTATAAATCAGTACAAATTGATAAATCAATACCGTTTAATAATAAAAATGGTCGTGTGAAAAATGTTGGAAAAGTGAAAGAAAATCTTTATGCTGCTGGATGGGTTGCAACTGGTCCTGTTGGTGTAATATTATCTACAATGACCAATGCATTTGAAATTGCTTCGCTCATAAATAAAGAACTTCTTTCAGTTAAAGAAAATAAACTTGGTTACGAAGGTCTCAATCAAATTCTTAATATGAAAAATATTCCTACAGTATCGTATAGTGGCTGGGAAAAAATAGATCAAGTAGAACGACAAAGAGGTAAAGACTTGGGTAAGCCAAGAGAAAAGATAGTTAGTATATCAGAAATGTTAAATATTGCATTGAATTAATAAGATTTATTATTTATAAATATATTTGAAACTAATATGTATATTTTTGAAATGAACAAAATATTAAAAAGAAAAAATATAATTATATATACTAAATTATTAAAATATATATGCAAACATAAATCATAACCTATAATTTTTTTTCTTGAAATAATTTCTAGTAATAGTTATTTTATAATTTGTATAAAGCTCTTATCAATTATATTAATTATATTAATTCTTACTTTGCATGCATGCAGACCATATAAAAGCATATAACTAAATGTAAACATTCATCAAACCCATCCGCTGATACGACTGACAGGTAGACTTTGTCAATTGTCCCTACGTGGCGCTGCAGTTGTCCATTCTCCAAATTCAAGATGGCCGACAGCGTTTCCACTAGATACGTGATAATAACAATAAAAACGTGTTTATATAAAAGTAAAAAATGTTTCCGCATCTTTGTCATCGGCGTAAAAACAGTACTATCGATCAATAATGTCTTTGTGTAAAATCAATTTCTTATATGATGATAATTCTTATGAAAATACTCATGTGCCTTATATAGAAAAACATTTTACTTATATATAATATTTATTTATTATCAAAATGTGCAATGATGGATCGAGTGATTATGATTGTCAGCAACTAAAGAAAAGATTTTATAGAAGTGTTTTTGAATTTGATCAAACAAATATTAATGAGGTTATTTATCAGAAAGAAGAAATTATGAGTGATTGTGTTGAATCAAATAAAATATCTGAAATCGATATAACAACTACTTCAACAGTGCCTTCTAATAAAGATAGTTTGGAAAAAGTTATCAAAAATAATGCACCAATTAAACCAAATGACAGAAACGTACCTGATTTCTTAGAAGAAAATCAAAGTGAAGAACTACTTAATATTTGTTACGAAAGGAGACATAATATGGAATCAAAGTAAGTTTCCTTTTTAAATATCAATTTTACTAAACAATTGTTATCTAAGTAACTCTTATTTTTATAATTAACTTTTTAATTTTTTTGTTTTCAGAGGTACACAGACAAATAATCAATTCATAAAAGATTATCCGCAGCATTATTTGGTAGATAGCATGGATCATCAAAATATTTATAGATATAATCCAAGATTAATGCAATATAATCAAGAATTAGCATTAACAAAATCACATTTATACAATGTTCATTGTAATTATAAAAAATTAAAATCTCGATTTCACAAATTACATGGAGATTATCATAAACTTTTAAGTATTGCTGCAGAATTAACAGCAGTTCTTGAAAATTCAGTAAAAGGACAACCCGTTGATCTGCAAGGAATGTTAGAATCTTGTATGAAGATATTTCCTGATTTATTTAATCAAAACATAAGAGATGATTTGCACGTATGTAATTTTCTTCTTAATTATACTAAAAGGTAAAATTGTTATGTGTATAACATTTTGATTTATTTTTAGGTAAAAGTACAACCGTCCAACGATACAAATAAACGAGATATTAAGCCTAATTTTAATATCATTAACGTATCACCAAAGTTGTTAGATTTTAAAAAGATTAAATTACATTTAATAAATGGAAATGTTAAGACAAAACTACTTCTCTTGCAAGCCTTACGATGGGTAATGGATATATTTGATGTGTTTTCAAATTGACACGCATAACAAAGGTGACGAATTTTTACAGAAAATTACTTTAAGTCAACCTGGAGAATGTGATGAATCTATACACGAATATATAAGTAGAGATTTATTAGGATTACATGGTCAGATTGCCAGTGATAATGGAAAATCAATTTTACCATATTTACTAACACCAAAAAATGTTCCAATGCCACATCCATTGCAACAATCAGCAGCTAGATTGTTAAATACTTTTGCATCTTTACAATGTGGTAGAGATTATTTATCTATAGATTCATCGGTAGTTAAAGTGGTATGTAAATATATTGATTAAAATCTATTCTAATTTACATTAATATTTATATATGTGAAAGTTTACAGAATGTAATAAATGTGTTAGATATTTAACTGCCTCAATGACAACTACCAAGATGGAGTAGATTCTTTAACATATGATATGACACTGTCAACTTTACAAAAATTATCATTGCGCAAGCAACAAAGATTATACATGATAGATAGCGGATTGTTGGAATGGTTGATTTATCATCTGCACAATGAAAGTAATACTATGAGTTTTTATAGATTAAAATATGCGACAGCTCTTTTAATGAATTTATCATTGCATAAGCAAGCTCAAATTAGAATATCTACTAAATCATCATTACTCGTATCAACTCTTATAATGCTTCTGGCAATTGATCATCCTTCTGTAAGTAAATTAATCTTATATGAATAATTATTTTGTTACGTTTTTTTTTTATTTATTATATATTATTTATTAAATGATTATTTATATTAGGTATCACCGTACGTTAATGGTGCATTAAACAATTTTCTTATGAATGATCAAATAAATGATGAAGCAAAACATGCCAATCTTTTATCCACATTGGAAGAATTATGTACAAATAAAACTGGAGAATTAAGGTATACAAAAAAATAATCTAATAATTCTGAATAATTTATTATTATTATAAAATAGAATCACATTTTTTATGGAATAATATTTTAGAAAATATTTGGAACACATAATAAAAGTACATAAACGTGAATGCACTATCGATATGGAAGATGAAACTATTTCTGATAATGATAATGTAAGTATTATCTTAGAATTTGATTATAATTAATTATTTATAATTAATATTAAAATATTTATAGGAAGAATTTGATGTATTGGAAAATGAATTGGAGGAGAATGATCCTGTTAAAAATCATAAAACAGAATTATACGGAGAAGTATTGCTGTCAACGTGTTATATGATTACACCGGATACATTTCCAAAAGAATCTCTAAACATTGGTAAAGTTTTGGCTAAACCTTCAGACACAAAATTACTACCACTACGGAACAATAAAAAACATAATCAGTCTTGCAGTAGTACTAGTTCATCGTTATTACTTGAACATATTCCAAGGTACTCATCATCTCTCTGATTGTAATTTTTATTTCATATAATTATAAGTTTCCATATAATATTTTAATTTTAATGAATTAATTAAGATCCGTATGGAAAGAAAAAAAAGAAAGAATCAAACATAAATCACAAGTATCAAAAGTTGATATTGATTTAGAACATTTTTCGAATCATAGCAATCATTATTTTAATTATAATAATAATAATAATAATAATACAATGAAATTAAATAAAATCAAAGTTATTTCAAATAAAAAGAAAAATGATTTAGAAAATATTTCACAAACAATAAAATTACCTAATGAATCTAATATGATGATTCGTTACAAACAAATTGACAAAATTATATCAAGCAATATTCATGATGAAAATATGACAAATTTAATTTCTACATCTAAAAAGCATAATATAATGAATGTACAATATGCAGAAGACAAAAAACGAATTAACAGAGACTCGATTAATCCAAATTCAACAAAAGTGGGCACATTTAAGCAAAATCTTTTTAAAAAAGCAGCAATGACTGATGATGTTACAGTATATTTATATGAAAATCAAACTTCCAAGTGTGTCAATAATTTAATATAAATTATTATAAGGTGAAATGATGTAACAATTCGAAATATTATTTTGTAATTTATTATGTATTATTAAATTACAAACATCATATCACCTTAAATGAAATATTTTGATTATTTTTATTATCGATATTGACCTAAAATTGTCTTTTTTTTTCTTTTTTTAGAGAAAGTAGTACAATGACAATACCTTCTTCAATGACTTTAGAATCTGCACATGAAAGTAAAAAAGGTATAAATTAAATAAAACTAAAATATTTGACATATAACTATGACATGCTTTATAAAATTTCAATTCTCTTTGCAGGACTAGAAAAATTCAGCAGTATTGCATCATTGTGAGTGAGCAATAATGTATAATCATTATACATTTTACTTTTTACAGTTTTTGCACATTTTTTGACAATAGAAATTCCACGATTTTAACGTGTCCTATGACTTGTTGCCTCCTTAAGTTGAAGGTTTTTTTGTTTTTATTTTATATTTAATTCAATGAAATATTTATTATGAGAATATTCTATATTATTATAATATTTTACAGAACCAACATAAACAATGATAGAGATGAATTACCTGATAATGCTGTCGATACAATTGAATTTAAATGCGAGAAAGAAGAAGAAGAAGCATTTTTAGCCAAACCAAAAATTTCAAGAACACCTCCATGCTTACATTAATGTACGTATATACATGTGCACACAGGTATAATCATAGAGAGTAAAAAAATATGAACGCATAAATAAATGATAGCAAGTAATACAATCTTCATTGCTTATATATAATATTAGTTAAATATTTTATTTTAAATAGTATACAAAAATATAATTCTTTAAATAGATTTGTTATCAGGAGTATGTAACAAATGCATTAGAACTTAAACTATCTGTATATTTGCTATTTCTATTATACAATTCGGAAGATTCAGAATCATCGTAATCGTTGTCGTTGTTATTCGAACGAACAGGTACTGGTTTGTTGTTTCTTGGCCTATTTAATAAATTATTACGTTTTTTCTTATAACTTCTATTTAAATCATTTTTAATATTAGGATAAAGTCTCGGAGAATAAATATATCTAGGATGAGTACCAGAGCCAGTAATTTTCAGTATTATTGCTTTTCCATTACCTTTCGCATAATTGTTAGGAAGATAGTTTTTCTTAGGCCCTTTTATTAAATAATTTAAATTACTTTTGGAAGGATAAATAGACGAGTATTTTGTTCCTCTATAATTAATTGGTCTTTCAGGCTTATGAAAATTAACATCTTTGCCTTGTACATTGGAATTATAATTATTTGATAGAGAACTTGATAAATCGTCAAAAGCTTGTTGACCATGATTTTGATTGAAACTTTGAATATGATCTTTGATCTTTTGATTTTCTTGCATGTTAAATATATCAGATGAAAATATCTTTAATGCATCATCCCCATAATTATAATTTCCTTTGAAATTAAAGTTATTGCCTCTTTGTTTTCCATAGAATTGTTGATTGTCGTTGTTGTTATTAATGTAAATGTCATCGATCATAGACGTATCGGAATCTTGTTCATATTCTGTAGAAGGAAATGACAATGGAACTTTAGCAGGATAATTTCCAGATATCAATTCAGTATGAAAAAATCCTTCATGTTGATGCTCATTATTTGAAAATTGAGACGAATCAAAATGCCTGTACTTTCCAAAATCAGATTCTTGATTGCTATTATTAACAGAGTATTTTCCAAAATGATAAGGCAATTGTTCTTTAACAAAATTAAAATTATTATTATTATTATAATTTTCATAAGAAGGATCTATGTATCCTGGTAATCCATTATTCGTAGAGTAACCGGTTAAAGGTATATTACCAACTTCAAAATTTGCTTGATTTATTTTCCCACCAAAATTGTAATCTCTTTCTCGATGTTCTGTATTATAATTATTCATATTTTGTTGATTTATACTATCTTCGGGCATAAATCTTCCATTAAAGATTTGTTTGCTTGGTTCAAATCTATCGTTTGGTTTAGAATAATAATCTGTAGAGATTATTAGTTAAAGTTAATTGATTAATTAATATTAGATCGATAAAGTAATATGATTAATAAAAAAATAAATACGTACTGTTAGTGGATGATGATGATGATGATGATGATGCATGAACCATCATAATGATGGAACACACAAATATTTTATACTACAAAAATAATACATTTTGTTTATCTTATCGAAGAAATATATAAATGTTATAATACGTATGAATATTAATTAATTTTACTTACAAATTGAATTCTTCTCATCTTGATAAGAATTAATTATACAGAATGAAAAAGCAAATCTTTGAAAGCTACAGTTGTTAACTAAGAAAGAACTTGCACAAACTGATGTACAAATCTGCCGCTTACTATTTTATACCTCTTGAGAAATGTCCCTCCTTACTTACGGAAAGGTAAAAGCGATCTTGAAGTACACATATTGATGGGATACTGAATAGGTCTGGTTGACCATACAGAGCATAGAGAGAGAAAAAGTCAACCTGCTTTAATTCTTTACTTTTACTAGTTCTAGTTATTTGCAATAGGTCAGTAGTATAATTGCTACTATATTTCATACTTGTTCTCTCAATATATTTTCCTTAAAATTATATAGTTTTTTTTTTAATTATTTTTAAACAATAAAATGTATTTCTTTTTTTCTTCACCTAACTTTTACTTCATTCACACAATATAAATACTTGCATATATTTGTTGTTACTTTTCCTTCAAATACTTTCTACTTTATGTGCATGCAAGCACGTATCCATTTAAACGCGTGCTTGCTGAAATTTGATCAAGTCAATTTGAATAGACGACGTTTTTACTACCTTTCGATACTACATAAAAAAAAAAAAAAAACGAAATCGATATGTGACTTCGATGTTATCTCTTTATCTTTCTTTTTATTTTTCTATCCTTTGTCTCTTAAAATGTACGATGAATTATAAAACGAAAGACATTTATTCAAAATAATTTCTAGATTTATAGATAAATAAATCATTTGTAGAATTAATAGAAATAACCGGATTATAAATCTAATTGTTTTTTTTTTTTTATTGATGACTTTCTTTCTCGGAGCGTATTAGATGTTTGAATGTAAAAAAAAAAAAATAATAATATAGACGAAAGTTATATTGAGAAGTAGCGTAGAAAGTAAAATGATAATGGAAAGTAGACACTAGTTGACAGTAAACTTGTTACTCATTAAAGAAGATCAAGTTGCAATTAAAATAAAATATAAAAAAAGGAACTTTCGTATACAGGTTTGACACGCTTTTTAAATCTCTATTTAAAAATAGTTCGCATAATATTGATATATAGTATAATAATAGATATGTACATATAATAAAGTTTAAAATAATTACTATATACGATTAAGATACTTTGTAATTCACATAGTTAGTTAAAATTGCTATGTAAAAATGTTTAGAAAGTATGTGGGTTATATATTTTTACACGTAGGTGCATAGTTTATTTTCGCGAATGAATTCATTTACATTTATGCATGCGTATTGTTTATTTTCACGCATGCGTATTATAACTTTCACGCATGCGTATTATTACTTTCACGCATGCGTATTATAACTTTCACGCATGCGTATTATTACTTTCACG